CGGGGCCACCCAGAAACAGAACGTGGGAACTTAACCGCTGTGCCACCTGGCCAGCCCCAGAACTTGCATTTCTAACAAGTTCCCAGTGCTGCCCGCTCCGGGGACCCCACTTGGAAAGCCAGTGGCCAGTGCTTACCAAGTCTCTCCTCACTGCCCATAATTTCACTTTTGGCTTTATAGGTCTGTCAGTAAAAGGCTTCATCCCAGGGGCAGAAAGGCGTTCTACATCTTATCCTTGACCTCAGGTTCAGCTGAGTTCATGGGTCATTCAGTATTGGTGGGGAGAAGGGTAAAAAGGAAGATTTAATATTACTGTGTGCACCTTCTATCATCACGAATTATTCTTTTTATTGTAAGATTAATCAATAATTTATTGAGTAACCCAGTGATGACTTTGTCTTAGCCACGCCTCCGTCTAGTCCATATGGAGGTCTCACTGTGAAAGCAAGAATCATAACGTCATGTTGCTTTAGGACAAGTAGGACTGGTGGTTAGGCTAAGACAACAGTGAGCTCAGGACATGCTTCGTGGCTCACAGGAATCCCTTCTGCAGCGTTCCAAACATCCAAGACAGGGACAGCCACAGCACTAAAGATGTTCTGTGTGTGCCATGTCCTGCTGGTCCTCAAGGTGTGTTGACCAGCCAGGAAACCACCCAAATGCAGTCACTTTGGCATCTACTCTTCCAGTTCAGACCAACATACCACCCTCTGTGCTCACATCACATGCCTGCCATAGGCGTTTTTAAACTTGCTTAGAAATTCGTGATATTCCACACTAAAAATCTTGTGTCTGTATCTAGGAACACGACTGATGAGAGCCCCACTGATCTTTTGCAGAAGTGTACTTGCTTTGAAAAGATCTTGGCTACAGGTTTGCTCTTTGGGAAGTCCATTTTAAGGGCTGGGTCTTTTTACCAGCCTCATCCAGGTCACAGAACTACTGGGGGCTGTGATGTCACTCACATCCCCAGACAGGGCAAGGAAGGACAGCACCGAAGGCCAGGACAGATACTCTAGTCTCCCCCCTACTTTCAGGCCTCCTCTGCTTTCCTGCTCACAGACAGCTCTCTTAGGAGATGTCTATACCCACCTGGGTGTGCTCTCCTTCCAAGAAACCAAAGAGCCCTTGGAGACACCAAGACCCACGTCCTCTCTCTCTATGTGGACTCCAGGCTGAGAAGACCGACGGATATGAAGCCCCAATACATTATGAGTTTTGGGCCGTGACCAAAATCCAACTTTCCTGGAAGGAAATATTTATTGCCTGAGCAACATCTTGCAGTAGTTTGTCTTTTGATTTGTGCCTGGTATTTCAGTATGTTCCTGGTTCAACCCTCCGATTAGATCCAGGCCCTGCACTTGCTCAGAGACACGCTCCTGGTCTGAACTCCCCCTCCAGGGCCTCCAGACCAGGCAAGCAGAGCTCAGTGCAGTTGGCTCCCAGATTTGTCTGAGTGGGTCAGCCTTAGACGGCTTAATTTAGGTGGCTTCACCCTCTGTAACTCAGGGGGTGCCGTTTACCAGCTCCCTCTCTTTGGAGGGTTGCACCCTCTTCATCTGCTTGTGGTCTTGGCTCTTTACTCTTCAACAGAGACAGCATCCAGCCAGCTGCAAAGACGAATTCATTCAAGGGTACAGAGATGCACGGCTTCTCACCCCTAAGGTACGCAAGAGCTGGGGCCCACAGAGGGCTATCAGCTGCAGAAGACTCAGATTGGTCCCCCCCTGGATGCAGACCTCTTTGATGTGCCTTTGACGTCCAGTGCAAGGCTGGTTCGCTCTCCTGAAGTGTTCTGCACATTCCGAGAACTGAATTTGGGGTCGAGTTTTTCCCAGCAGCAATATCTTGACAATCCTAGAATCTGAGTGATGGGTTTATGCTGATTCATTAAATGATTCTCTCTACTTTGGCATATGTTTGAAATTTTCATAATTAAACATTTTAGAAAGTCATCTTGCGGCCATTGGCAGTATGTGTCCCACTTTGGGAAAACAGGGGTGATCAGATAAGAACCTCCCATTTAGGGCCAATGGGATGCTTCGGTAAGTCCTAAGACTCGGGAAGGTAAGGCAGCTGGTTCAGTGCCCTGCTCTGAACTCATGGAACATACAGAGCAGAGCCAACTTGGGTACTGCCCAGATGAAGCTTCAGAACTAATCAGTTTTGCCTTTGTGACAAAAGTATTCTTTGTACTCACACCAGGACATATCAAACAGGTTAAATATAGTGAGTTTGATTTAGAGATTTTTCCAATTTAATACCTGTATTAAGCATCACACGAGTGTTCCCGGATTTGAAGGAAGTCTTCACATAAATTATGACTAAGGAATTATAGCAGTTTAAATATTTATTAACTGTGTCAAGCCATATCTGCTTGTTTCAGTATCATCCACAGTCACGGAGATGTTATAATTCAGAAGTCAACCCAGATCCTTGACAACTTGAGCTGCTGGTAAGAAGCTATCTCTGCATTTATTATAAGAAAACAAACTTATATTGTTTAATTAATAATAAACTCCTTTGTTGAAGCCACTTTTAATTGATATGACATATGTAGAAATTATGTCTGTAACAGTCAGGCCTCTTTTTGTTGCAGTCAACAGAAACCCAATTTGAACCAGTTTAAATTAAAAGGATGGTCGATTGGAAGGATGCTGGGGGAGGGGTGTGTGGCCCACAGAATGGACAGAGGAGCTTCGAGAATGAGGGCAGCTCCAGGGGAATTCAGAGTCTGGGACCAGAGATTCGATGCCCTCAACGTTCTCTTTGCATCTCTCTGGGTGACAGCTTCATTTTCTCTGGCTTTTCCATGTGGTGAAGGACATGGCTGTGTTCTGTCCTGGGGTCTCATTTTATAATGACCTGACCACACTTCAACAGAAAAATCTCAAGGAAAGACTCTCATTGGCTCAGCTTGTATCACGTGCCCATCCTGAACCAACCACTGTGGCCAAAGGGATAAGTGGTCCCGTCTGGCCCATGTGCCCATCCCTGTGGCGAGGGGAGGGAGAAGTGGGGTGTGTTACCAGAAGGGAGAGGGGTGCTGGGCAAAGATAAGAGCCACCACAGTGAACACAATCCTGGCAATTAGGCAAATACACTTGGAACAGAAGCAAAGCAGCAGTGGTTTTTACAGTAGCTAAGAGCCCAGGGTTCAAAGGCACATGAACTTGGGTTCAGTCCTTGTTTTACCACTCCCCAGCTGTGTGATGTTTGAGGAGTTTCTTAACCTCGCCATGTTATTCATCTTGTCAAAGACAAAACAGGGACAAGTCAGGACACTGATTTTATTCAGCCTATTGCAATAAGGAGAGTACCCCAGATCAGACATCAGTGTCTAAAAACACAGGGTGGTTTTACCTTAGACTTGCATATGGAGGGGAAAAAGTTGACAGGTTTACAATTTACAGTTGGGACGGTTTTGCAATCAAAGGAAGTCTCAGTCAATTAGCTGAACGGGAAATGTTTATCTCTGTGTCTAACCAGTTTCAGGGTGGTGGGGGGGGCACGGCACAAACAATTCTTAGCTAATCAACCATGAGATGAAGAACAGGAATTTGAAAGGTCTATGTCTGGCCTTGTCAGCAGGTTCAGGCAAAAGGGGAAAGGTCTGTGGCCTGTCACAGAGAAACGAGGGAGTCATCCGTAGTCTTATGAGAGTCACAAGAAAGAGTGGACAGAAGTCTTAGTCACATGGGAAGGGTAGTTCTTTTTGGCAAGCCGCTTCCCAGAACACAAAAGGGTAGGGGGATTTCTGAACCATCACTGTTTTCCAGGAACACAGGGCTCAGGTAAAGTACAACATCGTTAATCTGTAAAATCTTGAAAATATTATCCATCTCATAGTTGTGGTGTGAAGATTAAATAAAATAATCTATGTAATTCATTTAGCGCAATGCTGGGCACACATAGGGTTGCCATATTTAGCAAGTAAAAATATGGGACAATATCATGTCCTGTATGCACAATAAAATAAGGCAGTATTTGGGATACACTTTTACCAAAAACTTATCTGGAATTAAAATGTAACCGGCTGTCCTGTATTTCCTCTGGCAACCCCTGGCGCATAGTGAGTTGACCATAAATGCTAACTTTTATTATTATGAACGGGGAGATTTGTTTTCAATACATATTACCTGGACAGGATGTCTCTTCCTACGAAATATTTTTCTTTAAATACAGTCTCAGATCTCAAAAGAGCACTGGTGGGGCTGGGGGCTGGGGAGACGGCGGCCACAGACCATCTCAGGGCTTCTTCAAAGGCAGGCTTACCTTCCTTCGCCATGCCCTCTTCCCTGTCTCTGGCCTTGGTGGTCTCCACCTTCTCGAAAGCATGGAGATGGAAACACGGAGACTCCCATCACAGAGCCTCAATGTCTGGAGGGGAGAGATTTTCTCCATCTCCAGCCACCTCCCCAGCCTCCAGCCCAGAGCTGGGCAACACGCAGGTGCTCCTTGAGCGCCGATGAAATTCAGTTCAAAAGCACCACGTGCAAGGGGAGGGAGGATCTGCGCTTGTTTTATTTTTTAAAACCCAAATTTCACGTGGGGACAAAAGAGTTTCTCTAAAATCCCCGGAAACTGCTGCAATGGGGTGGAAGCCTGGTGCCTGGAGCTTTAAGGGCGATCCTGGGCGACATTTTTGGTTTTAGGGTGGCTCTGGGTCGCTCCTGTAAAATGGGAATAATGATGCCCATCTTCTTCCACAACCACCACACTGTACTGTCATCTTCTCGTCGCTGGTTCTGTTTTCCCTGTGATACGACGAGCTCCTTGAGGCTGGGGGTCGAGCCTGGTCCGGCTCATCCCCAGAGCCGGGCACAGCGCCAGGCGGGACGTTTGTAGAAAGGAACGAATGTGAACTTGTGGCGAGGAGGACGGGAGACGCTGTCACCGCCAGCTGACTCTGGACCACGAACCCTTTCACTTCTCCGCCGGGAAGCTTCCGGCCCCCGCTCGCTACGCTCCGGCCTTTGCTCCCAGGATGCTCCGCGCCGGCCGCGCCCCGTGATTGGCTGCGCTGCCCCACGTGACTCTGGTTGGCGGCGGCGGTTGCCGAGGCGACGGCTGGAGCGGTGGCGGCCGAGCAGCAGGTAAGCGTGTCCCCACCGTCCCCGAGCGGGGAGGAGCAGTGGTGGGGTCCGAGGGCCGAGGCTGTGCTGAGCTGTCGCCCCGGAGGAAAACCCTGACGCGACAGCGAGGCAGCCGCTGCCGGAGCCCCCACTTGTCGCCTGCGGTCCTGAACTCTTACTCAGGCTTGGGCCCGAGGCGGCCGCGTGGACATCCCAAGGACAGGCCCAGCTGCTTCCCGCAAGTAGTCCCTGATCTTTGCTGCAGTGGGCTAGACTTGGAGGGGGCCGTAAGTCGGCCAGCTGGGTAGTGGCGGCGCGAGCGGGTGGCCTGGGGCTTTTAGATCCGTCCTCCGTTATCTCCATCAGCTAACCCCTCTCCCCAGGCACCCAGGTTAAGTCCAAACTTCATCCAGTGTAAGCAAAATCAGGATGCTTGTTATGCAGATTCGTCGTCCAGACAAATCGCGTAGCCTCCCCCTTATTCAACCAGCTTGTAGGCCCTAAATCCCACTTATATAGAAATTCAGAAGCTACCACTGCAACCCTCAAGAGCGACTGAAGAAATTTCCTCTCGTTTCTGCATAAAGTAGAGCAGTAGTCCTCAAGCTTGAGTGTGCATTAAAGTCACCCAGGAAGCTTATTTAAAATAATTTCTGGGCATCGTGCCTGCCGTGGTGTTCAGTAAGATCAGGGTGGTGCTAGGAATTTCCAATTGCACAAGCATCCCGGGTGATTCTGATTCAGGTGGCTCAAACTTTGGGGTAATACTGTGTAGTGGTTAATATTGGTCTGGATTTAAGTTCACACTTTGTCACTTATTGAGTTATTGGGAGCACCTTAACCTCCCTGAGCCACCATTGGGTCGTCTGTAAAAGGAGAATATAAATCATATTCATCTGTCAGGTTTATTGTGAAAATTAGATGTGAAGCATTTTTCACCTTACTTGACATACAATAAACCCTCTATAAATGAACCTATTATGATATAAAGGTTTAGAGAGAATTCTGTAAGTTCTAAGGATGTCACACTAGTAGAATACCCAACAGTGGCTCATTCTTATTCAAATGATGATCATGAAGAACTTCTCTGAGAAAGTGATGTTTATTAAGCACAGGAGTTAGCCAGGTGAAGAAAGAGAGGGGAAAAGTGGTCCAGGCAGAAAGAACAAAATGTGCAAAGGCCCTGAGGTAGGAAGGAGCTTGAGTTCTCAAGAACAACACAGTTTACTTGTTCCAGGGGCTTCAAAAATGCTGTTCCCTCTGCTTGGGCTTCATTTATTTATCAGATGTCTTGGGTGCCTATCATGACTACCAGGCACTCTACTGGATTCTGGAGATGCAAAACTTACATACACCTCCCTGCCTTTGCAAACAGGGTAGTGAGGATAACAGTAGAAGTAAATGTAGGGTGCAGAGGTACCTCAGAGGAGAGAAAATTGCCTTGATGAGGAAGGGGAGGGGTTCATGGAAGACTTCCTGAGGGAGATCAAGTCTGGACTAAGTTGGTGTGTATGATGAGTCAAGTTTGCCTCTGAGGTGGGGCGAGTGCATCAGACAGAGGGCTTGGAGTCGTGAAAGAGCATGTTGTATGGGAATGGCCAGGAGTTCACTATTGGTGGGGCCTAACATGGGGAAGTGGTAGAAGAGAGCAGGGTAGAAGAGAGAGAGCTGGTCCCGAGAAAGGTTGGAGAGGTGAGTGGTCCTCTGACAGCAGCTGTCTTTCTCCTGCACCTTGTCTGGCAGGCCTGGAGGTGATGGGCAGGGTAGATGTCCTCCCTGTTCCCCATTGCTACTTCCAGATCACCGCCCCCCTTCCTTTGAAGGACATGCCGTGGGCTTTACCACTTGCCTCCCTTCCTTGAGGCGATCACCTGTCAGGGGGCACAGCTGTTTCCCTTGAAGACTGTGGCGCCTGGCTCACTGTCTACCTCTCCAGCTCCTCCATTTCATTTGGGAGATTTCAGCATCCTGTCTACTCCATTTCTTCATCCTCCATGCTTCTAGGCATCTTTTCTCTGCATCCTCCTCATCCACCCACTTCTGTGGTTATAAAGTTTTTATTACTACAACACCTCCAAAATCTTGATTTCTAGCACCCATCCCACTCTCTGTCCACCACCTTCTGTCTTTCAAGCTCTCTTTAATGTGCCTCAGAAGCAGGTCTTTGGCCCCATTACTTTCTCACTACCTTACAAGCCCCTTATGCACCTCCCCTCCCCGTATGCTTAACGTAGCTTAGCTTCATGCTCCACCGCTGTTAAACTTGTTTCTCTTTCCCCTCTCTTCTGGAAAAACCTCACCTTCGTTAATCCAACTCAGACAGCTGAAAGTGGCTGAGAAAACTGCAGAATCGTGCAGACTGGTTCCATTTTGGATTTGAGTCCATAAGTCTTAGGCAGACTCTCGATACTAGAAATCCTGCTGTGTTTCCAAAATCCGTTTAGTTCCCACTGCCCTTCTTGTCAAATGGTCAACATGCTTTTTACTCTCAGCCGATCTTGTTTCTTGTTTTACTTTTCATCGCTAAATCTGTCCATTTCTGTGGTCAGTACCCATAGCCTCCACCTCCCTCCATGCCGGGGGATGTACTGTCTCTGCCCCTGTCTAAGGCCTGGCCCTCCATTGGACGCTGGGTGCGTCAAGGACATTGTTTCCTTAGCCATCTCCTCTCTCTTCTTCCCCATCTATTTTTCCTTCTCTAACTGGGTCATTCCCATCAACCCACAAACATGCTGCTTTCAATGTTTTCCTTCTTAAAGAAACCTCCCGTTTCTTTCCAGCCACTGTGTTGTCTCTCCTCTCCTTTTTGTGACAGATCTCCCTGTTTCTCCATTCTTACTTCCCTTTCTCTCTTCAACCTTTCCAGTCAGGCACATGTCCTCATTGCTCTTAGCAAAGTCACCATCTGGCTCCATTTTACCAAATCCAGTGATTAATTCTTCTGTCCTCCTTTCCACTTGACCAGTCAGTTGCAGTCGACATGGGAAACGCCTTCACTTGGCCTCCACGGTGTCACGGTCTCCTGGTTGTGTCTCACTGACAAGTTCTCTCTTCTTGCTTAGTCTCTTGCTGGCTGCTCTGCTCCCCCTGACCCCTCAGTGCCTGAGTGCTCCACGTTCAGAGGTGTGCCTTTCTCTTCTCACTACACTTTCTCCCTGGGGGCGGGTCACATCTGTTTAGGATACTCAGCTACTGAAACGCCATCTTTATGCTGATGACTTCCAAATACTTATCCCCAGCTCCTGCTTCTCCCTTTACTCAGACTCATATATCCACCAACGTTCTCAGCACCCCCACTTGCATGTCTAATAGGCAGATGTATGGCCAAAACAGAACTCGAGATTCAACTCTCACGCTGTCCCTCCCAATTTCCCCCAGGTCAGCACCTCGTTGCCTCCGCCGTCTGCCCTGCTCTCCTCTCGCTACACCCCCGTACCTCAGCACTCCAAGCCCCTCTTCCCCAGATCTGGGAAGCGCTCGCTTCCTCACATCACTGCTCAAACGTCATGTTCCCAGGGAGGCCTTCTCTGACCACCCTATCGAAGGAACCCCAGACCCCTCTTCTCCAGGCTCTGTCTCCTTCCTTGCTTTATTTTCTTCATATCTGAAACTATTTCCATTCTATTTTTGAGCACCTGCAGTGTGCCAGACACTGGCCTAGGCACTGGGGATGCCAGGGGAACACGTGTCCTCATGGAACCCCTATCCTGGGTGGGGAACGACAGTGAGCAGGTACGTTAATGAGGGATGTTCAAGTCAGGTGTTGGTTAGTGCTGTAGAGAAAAATAAAGCAGGACAGAAGGCTAGGACGTATTGGGGCTGACCTCTCAGAAAGGGTGGTCAGGGCAAGTCTCGGAGGAGGTGACATTTAAGCAGAGAGCTGAGTGAGATGTGGATGGCTGGAGGAAGGGCGGCGAGGCGGAGGGAGCAGTAAGTGCCAAGTCCTCCAGCAGGTGTGTGCTGTGGGCGTCCACTGGAACCGCGTGCTAACCGTGTGGCCTCAGCCCAGAGAACAAGGGAGAGTGGAGGAGCTGAGCTGTGTAGGCTTTGAGAGCCTGGCCGAGGGAGGCTGGCCTTCATCTGGAGGGTGCTGGGACCACAGCAGGGTCCTAAGCAGGATGGGAAAGATCACTTGTTAATAGCATAGAAATTGGGTGGAAGTAGAGAGAGAGGTGACAGGAAATCGTGTTGAAGGACCTTGGGAGAGTTGAAGCACAGGACAATGACAGTGAGACAGAGAGGAGAATGGAAAGAAGAAATTACTAAATTTAATCTTCCTGTGTTCAAATAATTCAAATAAAATGCACTGATAGGGGCAGAAAAATGTAAAGTTACAGATTCATGCATTCTTAGAACTAGAAGAGATCTGATAAATTCTCCATTTTATTTTAAAGATGAGAAAAGCCTCCAAGTTTCATTGATTTGCCCCAGGTCAGGTGCCAGTGAATGGCATAGTTAGTCTTAGAGCCCAGACTTTTTAATTCCTCTGGGGTTGTGGGTGACCAATGCCGGTGAGAGCCTGGGAATGGGGCACAGGGAATGGCTGCTTTGGGTCCACCTGGGGGAGGGGTGGCAAGAAGAGTAGAAAGAATTACTTAAAAGAAAAAGTTCCAGCGTTTTATTTATTTAAGCATTTTTGAAATATAAAAAGATGTTGGGCATCCTTGAACGAAATTTTTTAAAAAACTGACCTAATAAATTCTCTGGGGTGAGAAGCTTGTATTAACCCTTGTGTCAGGGCCCACCACCTCCTCTTCCATTGCCATAAGGCTGAATGATTATAGTCTTTGGGTAACATGAAAGATTTCTTTTAAGTGAGTAGTAGCTGATATCGTTTTGTGAATGTTTAATGTTTTCTACTTGGAGGCAGAGTGAGAGATTGGTGACTCTGTGTTCATTTACATCAGGTTAATTTTAATGTGTACCCTTCCTTAAAGTAAATGAATTGATCTTATTGTTAAACTCTTTTGTTCTAAATACACTTTGTAGTCTTGACTGTTTGAATTACGCATACCACATTATAGCACATTAGAAAACTCTGAGTAAGAAAAAGAACCCTCCACACTCTCACCAGCATCCTTGACTTTCTCTGCTGCAACCCTCTGGTCCTTGTCCACGTTCATTTTAAGCAGTTGTCATAGAAGAAGGAATTACTTTTGACTTTAGTCACTGTGCTGCTGCAGTAAACTACCATAAACTTCGTGGCTTAAAGCAACACAGATTTATTATCCTGCAGTTCTGGAGGTCAGAAGTCCGAAATGGGTCTCGCTGGACTACAGTCAAGGTGTCGGCAGGGCTGGTTCCTTTTTGGATGCTCCGGAGGAGAATCTGTTCCTGGCCTACTCCAGCTGCTTGAAGCCGTCTGCGTTCCCTGGCTGCTGGCTCTTCCTCCATCTTCAAGGCCGGCAGTGGTTGGCCGAGTCTTTCTCACACTGCATCGCTCTACGCTGACCCTCCTGCCTCCCTCTTTCCCTTATAAGGACCCCTGTGATTACACTGCGCCCACCGAATAATCCAGGCTAATCTCCCTATGTTACGGTCAGCTGATTAGCACCCTTAATTCCCCTTTGCCACATGACCTGACAGATTCACAGGTGCTGGGGTTAGGACAGGGACATCTTTGGGTGCTGTTACTCTGCCCACCACAGCCACCTTTTTGTGATTTCACGGATGGTTGAAATGAAAGCCTTTGTTTTATATTTTTGTCTTGTAGAGCTTTTTGCTGTGAGAATTAACAGTAACAGTTCAATATGGAGGATATTCTGGCTCACGAATCAGAGTTACTTGGACTAGTGAAAGAGGTATGTTCTATAAAACGTAGGTTACAGAACAAGAGATCTTGAAAATGTCACGTTTGTATTGTATAATGCCCCAAATTCTCTAGTGCCGTGTAAGATTCCTTCTGTCATTGCATTACAGTTATCTGTTTTCCATTTTGTAATGTTCCATGTGTTTGTATTTTGTTTCCATCACTAAACTGAAATCTTAAAGCTGTTTTTTTAGAATTCCTTTAAAGAAAATTATAAAAGCAACACGAGATCCTAGTAAAAGATTCGAACAGTACCGAAGTATAAACGGTGAATTTCCCTCTTCTGCTCCAGCAGTGACCACTGTTAACAGTTCAGAGTATTATCTGTCCAGACTTTTTTCCTATGAATATTCAAAATATATTCATGTCTACAGTTTGTTTTACAAAATGAGGTGATGCCATATACATTGTTCTGTGGCTTGCCTTTTATCCGTCAGCAGTAATACAGTATGAACACCTGCCTGTGATCTGCCTCATACTTTTTAATGCTGTAGAGTGTTTCATTGAGGGGCTGCACCATAATTTATTTAACTCCTTGCCTATCAATGGACATTTGGGGACATTTGAAGGATAGGACCCATGCCATGTGCTTTTTGGTATCCCTACTGCTTTTAGCATGGGGCTGGCACATTGTTGGTGCTAAAAAACTGGTCACTGCTGTTTTACTGTGTGACGAAACCGTCTGTTAGGCATTGAGAGACATGGCAGCGGGGCCAGGCTGAGGCATCCGCCCCGGAAATGCAGCTTTGGAATTTATTAATGTGATCATGAATAAACTCCTAAAGCCGAGGGGTGTGGGCAGGGCCTGGGGACACAGCCACAATTAGAGGAGGCGGAAGCAGAAACGTGTGACTGACGCACACTGAGAAGGAGGGCAGAGAAGTTGAAGAAGGACAGTAGAGAGCATGTGATGGGACGTGGGGAGAGGGGCGTTTCAGACGACGGTGACCATTAGTGCTGTGCTGAAGATCCCTGGTGACGTTGCCCGTCTTTCAATGACCTATCTTCAGTTCCTAGGGACAGGCATTGTTTCTGATCCCTCTGTTTCGAGTAACGAAGTCCCGGAGACCTACTAGACGCAAAGCCAGCAGGCCTCTGCCAGTCACTTTTGCCTTTTTCAGGCTGCTTCGTACATTGTTTTATTTTCTGTTAATAATTATAGTGAATCATGCAGCTCACATTTTCCTTCTGAAAATAAATTTATTTTCTATGATACTGTCTTTCTAGGCTTTTAGTATGTATATTGATAAGTAAATTCTAAGCTGTTTCCCAAATTACTTCTCCCCAAGATGACAGTTCATTAATCCCATTATAAATTGGTGATAATATTGAGGTGGTACAGTTACATCAAAAACAGTTATTTTATTGATGTTAAAACAGAAATATATATACATTTATTTTTTTTTTAATAGTATTTAGATTTTGCTGAATTTGAAGACACCTTGAAAACATTTTCAAAAGAATGCAAAATAAAAGGAAAACCATTATCTAAAACAGCAGGTGGCTCTTTAAGGGACTCCAAATCATTGATAATCCAGGTAACATTTTACTTTTCTTTGGTCTCTGTAGATAAGCAAGGTGCTCCCAACTTGCTGCCGGTAGAGAATGTTGGAATCGTTTCTGGGGACCTGGTCAGAGTGACTTTTGGATTTATGGATGAATTAGTAATGTTATCTTCAGATCTCTGTACCCTACCTAGGAGATGGGTGGTGACATAAGATCACATACATTTCTTGGGAAGAAGAAAAAGAGGGAACCACGCGATGCTTAGAAACTGAGCCAAATGTGATCCCCATCTTGAGGAGTTTCGCTTATTAATTCTGGGTGCTGGGGACACAGTGGGGAGCAAAACAAAACAGAATCTCTGCCCTCCTGATGCTGACATTCTAGTTTGGGGAGGCTGGAGGGAACAGGGAGCAAGAGTCACACGGACAAGGCAGCGTCCTGTCAAAGGAAGACCTGAGCAGCTCTGAATACCAGTGGGCTGCAGACGGCAGACATTATCTGGTCCTCGACAGGGTTAGAAAGGACCTTAAAACTCCTCATTTCAGCCATTGTTTGATGCCTCCACCCCATTTGTAATATTCTTGGTAAATGATTGGTTGACCTTGAAGACATCCAGTGACAAGAGAATATTCCATTTCCCGAGGCAATATATTTTAGCTTTGCATGATTTTGTTATTTTATTGAGTTCATTTGTTTCAATATACCTACTTCCAAGAAAAATTTGAGACTTGATTTGACAGTCCCACTGAGTAGCCAGAGTTCAGGCCATAGCCACCGCCTGTCAGCTCCTGGCCCCTGACTCCCCAGTGGACGGGCCTAGGGCACTGTTGAGTGGTGGCATCATCGAAGTGGTCCCTGGAGCTCAAGGCGGGGCTGCGCCCAGGACCCCTTCGGGCCTCAGGCACCTGGACACTGAGCTGCCGCCACTTCAGACACAGACTCCTCGGTTGATGCCGCATTGGGCGGCCTAACAGGGCACCTCCCAACCCAGGAGCAAACCTTTCAGAACAGGAAACAAGAGTATAGTCATTATTAGACGTGGAAACTGAGGCTCTTATTCAGAGTGAACCTTCTTCTTTGGAAAATCAGCCTCACTCCCGGGTCCTCACAGCACCTAGCTTCCCTGCTTCCTTCAGGATGAAGAAGGACCACCTTTACCCTATAAGTTGGAAGAATATGTGAGCATCTCTTAATTGAAGGTGACATTGGGAGGAATATAGCAAATCCTCAATACCTAACTAGCGGAACAGTCAGAGTCTTTTGTGAAGCTCACACCTAGCCGGATTCTGTGATCTTATAGGATAAGACCAGCAAGCTCTGCGTCTGGAAGTTTCTGTGCATATCCAGGACCTCCAGAGGTGACTGCTGTATACTTTTTGCAACTGGTTTGACGTCACATTTCAGCTCTAGCTGCATCTGAGAATACTTGATGTCTCTTTGGGTCCTTTTTTCTTTTTAATTGTGATTTAAAAAGCACATAACATAAAATTTACCATCTTAACTATTTGTAAGTCACGGTTTGGTAGTGTTAAGTGTATTTACATCGTTATGAAACAGATCTCCAGAACTTTTTCATCTTGCGAATCTGAAACTATACTCGTTAAACAACTCGCCTCTTCCCCCCTCCCCCTAGCCCCTGGTAAACACCATCCCACTGTCTGAGTCTGTGTGTTTGACTACTTAAGATACCCCATATAAATGGAATCTTACAGTATTTGTCTTTTTGTGACTGGCTTATCTCACTTAACATAATGTCCTGAAAGTGCATACGTGTTGTAGCATGTGACAGAATTTCCTTCCTTTTTAAGGCTGAAGGGTATTCTACTACAAGTATGTGCTACATTTTGTTTATCCATTCATCTGTCGGTGGACACATGGGTTGCTTCCACCTCTTGGCTGTTGTGAACAGTGCTGCTCTGAACGTGGGTGTGCAAATACCTCTTTGAGACCTGCTTTCATTTCTTTTGGATATCTACCCAGAAGTGGGATTGCTGGATCGTATGGTAGTTCTAGTTCCTGTTTTTATTATTGTTTATCCATTCTTATTTATATGGTAACTCTCCATACTGTTTTCCATAGAAATTGTAAAATTTTACGTTCCTATAGGGGACAGGGTTACCATTTCTCCACATCCTCACCAACGCTTGTTATTTTCTGGTTTTTGTTTGTTTTGTTTTGATAGTGGCCATCCTAAAGCATGTGAGGTGATGTCTCACTGTAGTTTTGATTTGCTTTTCTCTGATGTCTTCAGGTCCATTTTTATATAACTTGAAAGACCCTGAAACTTTCTGATTGCCACAGGCGTATTTTTCTGCTCCTCTAAGAAGCAGCTGTGTCCCATCGTGATAGATTTCCCAAACAAAAATACCTCAGCTTAGCACAATATTCTGAGTGCCAGTGGCACTCAACAAAAGGAGAGTTTCGCTAAGCACGGTTCTGTAAGAATGTGTGTGTTTATAGGTTCTTATTGGCGGTGTGTAAGTTTTCTGATCTTGGTGACTCTGGCTGTGCTCCTGGTTTACATTAGAGAAGAGCGTTAATATTTCCTGACCCTGTGAATTGTAACAGTGGATTGCTTTATGTTTAGACATTATTTCAAACGCAGGGACCATTTCCAGGTACAGAATATGATTCATAAGTTGGGATGGATGATAGATGTGATTATAATGACATAGCAAAGGTTTCTGGTCCCAAGTCTGCAAATGTAGAGAACAAACTATAGAGGGGCCATTTGACGTGTCCACCTTGCCAAGCCACATTCGGAAAATACCTCGGCCCCAAGCCTTAGAAGACCCTTACAATCTGCTCACCTCCTTCACACAGTCAGAGAGCTGTCAGTCACTGCGCCTCTCATGGGAGAACGCCTCCCGAGAGCCGCTCGCGGTTCTGCTTGGAGCTGAGCAGAGGCGAGCCTGGACGGGGCCAGGCCCAGTAGCCCTGCCGCTTGGGTGGGCCCCCTTCACCTTTGTGTCAGTCAGTAACAAGAACAGGGGCCCTCTGGCTGGCTTCCCCCAGACTCTTGCAGAGGTGGCAGCGCTCAGGTGCTTCTAGTTTGTGTTGGCACCTCTCTGCACACAGTTGCGGACAGGCTGTCCTTCGCTGTTTCTAAGGCTGAGGAACAGAAAGAGGCTGGTTTCGAGGAGATAGAAGGTCACTGTAGGGCTTGTTTTGAAAAATTCTGAGTTTTGTTCAAATGTTTGCTAACACTTTCCAGAGTAAGGTAATATTCAGAGAGAGTTGTTCTTGATCACATGACACAGAGAACTTTTTGTTGTTGTTGAAGAAGATTGGCCCTGAGCTAACATCTGTTGCCCATCTTCCTCTTTTTGCTTGAGGAAGACTGTCACTGAGCTAACATCTGTGCCCATCTTCCTCTATTTTGTATGTGGGATGCTGCCACAGCATGGCTTGATGAGCAGTGTGTAGGTCCACACCTGGGATCCAAACCCACAAACCCTGGACTGCTGAAGAGGAGCATGTAAACTTGACCCCTACGACACTAGGCTGGCCCTGAGAACATTTTTGTAATATTCACATTGGAAGATTCCTTTTCAATGAATGTCTTTGACTTAAGTATAACCAAACACTGCAACGTTGTTCTCTGTACATTTCCACTTTATAATGTTAAAAAGCTTGATTATAAACAAATAGAATACATAACCTAAAAAAAAGACACTTATACAGGAAAACTGTAAAACCATTTAAAAAAAAGTATATAACAACAATGACCAAATAATGGTAGTGAATAATGGTGGTGTTGGGTGGGGGAACTGGTGGTTTTACAGAAAATCCAGTCTAAAAAAAGCTTTTGCAATTGAGCACAAAGTGTAGATCTGAGTATCTTGGGCATTTGAAACAAAAATGGAAGACAATACAAGTCACATCGTTTCGGACTATTAGAAAGTTCTTTCGATTCTGCCTTATACCTAAATCCACAAAATTATGCAGCAAGTGTTTGTGATGGGCCAGTTATTGTTCTTCTTGGGAGGCAGGTGATGTGATAATTGTCACCTCCTTCCTCCAGAATTCTCTGTTTCAACCACTGCACGGTAAGTCAGGAAACCGTCTCTGCCCCACACAGTCAGACTCACCAGCTCCGAGGTTGGCATGGCGCCGGGCCTGTGCTTCCTCCTGCATCTCCAGCCTGTGCTTCCCTGTTTCTGTAACTGCAGGACCCAGACAGGCACTGTATGGGTGTGTTCCCACAGCACTCTCTCAACCGGACATGCTTCTAGCAACAGGGGGCAAGTGACAGTGCCCACCCCACGCCTGGGAGTGACTGGGTCAGTGTGTATGAGCTCCCAGCCGCTCAGGGACCTGGCAGTGAGCTGTCAGCAAGTTTCTGTGTGTATGAGGTTTGTTCGGCTGACCTCTGGCTGGGCTCTTGGTCTGGCCTGTTCTTGTTAGTTGCATACTGTGGGTCAGTAAGTCCAAAGGGCAGCTTCAGGGTACTTATGTGCCCATGAGTTCTCTGGCCTCAAGTCTTTGGCCTATGCCCGATTCCTTCCATTTCAGAGACCCTAAATATTTCATCCATTCTTTATAATGTCCAGATGTGATATTGCAAAGGGGTGGAAAACCAGGGTCGGTCTGTAGTTATTTCTGCCTCAGAAGTTTGAAGCCCTCTGGGTCTCTGTTTTTCTATCCCTTACCTCTGAAAAGGAGACTTACTTTTCCTCACATTGAAACCATGAAGTGTGTGGGGTATCCAAGAGTTTGGAAGGGCTGTGAGAATTTTGGGTGTTGGGAGAACTGGCATCCTTTATGACTGGGGTTCATCTGATGTCTTCTCCACAGAGGGACCTCGTTGCTGCGTTTGACAGCGGAGACCAGAAGGTGTTCTTCGATTTGTGGGAAGAGCACATTCCCAGTTCCATCCGAGCTGGTGACTCCCTCGCCCAGAAGTTGGAATTCTATCTTCACATCCATTTTGCCATCTATCTTCTGAAACACTCCATGGGGAGACCTGTAGGTTTGCCTTGTGGTGTGGGTTGGTCAGAATGGTGTGTTAAAGGAGTGTGTTAGCTGTTATGTTTTGCAAATGAGCATTAATTTAGTTTAGCGGCCATTTGTATGTTCCTTCTAAGGAGTAGGCATCTTGGGTCCTGCTGAATGCTGTTCTATCACATTGCAGCAGTTTATTTTCTAATTTACATAGGTGAACCTTTGAGTACAGAGGAAATGACAAAAGGGGAGCAGGGCCAAGTGACTTTGACCACGTGCGTTTGTTTGGTGGCTTCTCCTTGCATTAGCTACTGCCCCAAGGACCTGTGTTAACTTATTAAAATGTCTAGGTGGCCAAAGGAAGGGTCAGTGATGGAGGGAGCAGTTTCCAGTACACAGTAGTCGCCATTCTTGGAAGGTTATTCCCTCAAGTTAGAACTCTTGGGTGTGATCATAGGAAACTTTCGTTTTGTTTGTGTTTATGTCTGTTTTCTGATTTTTCCATTTTGATGTAAGATAAAAAAAATCAACAGATGGCATATGTATTTTTAAGTCTGGGGTTCAGAAGAGGGCGTCACGGTGTGGGAGAAGTGAGATGCATTGATTAGAACCGGCTTCGCCTGCGTGGGAGGCTGTGAGGGATGGAACGGGAGAGGCCAGGGCGGGCCGGGGAGGTTGAGCAGCTCAGCTCGTGTTACCTCACTGAGGCCCGGGAGGAAATTGAAACCCTGAGAGGGACTTGAGCTCCCTCGGCTTATGCATGGAGTTAGTGAAGCAGGCAAGATGAGTTCTTAGTTAGCTCAATAAAGAAAAGGAATCATGATATGGAAACTTCTGTTTCAAAACACTATTCATCTTTAGAAACCTCTCCCAAGTGAGTCATGGGAATGCAGACAAATATTTATTTATGGTTATCTGAAATATGGAAACAATGTACATTATAAGGGGAGGATTGGTTAAATAAATTATGATAGACTCACAAGATGAGTTTATATCCTGCCATTAAAAATGTTTATAAAGAATTTTAAGGATATGAGAAAATGGTAATAATAAAGCAAAAAGCGTGTTGAACTAAGTGTCTGGTTCTGTGATACTCCTGACAGTTTCATGAAGGGACGAAACTGGGCTGATGTTAGAATGACTGGAGATGGCACGCTTGCTAGGCCAGATGGAGAGGATGCCAGTGCCGCGGCTGGAAGTAAAGGCGCCTCAGAGAGAGGATGGGGTAAACCAGCGGACTGGGCGTCAAGCAGGAGACTTCAAATGAATGTCTTCCCTTCCTTGTAGGACAAAGAAGAACTGGATGAAAGGATTTCTTATTTCAAAACCTACCTGGAAACCAAAGGGGCAGCCCTGAGCCAGACCACAGAGTTTCTCCCTTTCTATGCCCTGCCTTTTGTTCCCAACCCTATGGTCCACCCCTCATTTAAAGAACTCTTCCAGGTAAGTGACGGCCTCGAAATCTTTTTTTTAAGATTTTGTTTTTTTCCTTTTTCTCCCCAAAGCCCCCTGGTACATAGTTGTATATTCTTCATTGTGGGTCCTTCTAGTTGTGGCATGTGGAACGCTGCCTCAGCGTGGTTTGATGAGCAGTGCCAAGTCCGAGCCCAGGATTCGAACCAACGAAACACTGGGCCGCCTGCAGTGGAGCGCACGAACTTAACCACTCGGCCACGGGGCCAGCCCCAGCCTCTGAATCTTGTATCAGATCCTGCGCAACATTGTGGGTTCTCCTTCTATAAGCTGGTGGTTTCTGAATGATGCTGTAACAAAACTAAAATTTGCATGTTATATTTTAAAAGAATGTTCATGAAGATAATTCGCATTAACAAACTTGTGCCATAAAATGCGATTTTTTGGTTGTGCCAAAACTTGTTCATCTAGACTGACATGAGTATTTTTAAATATACTAACCTCTTAAATCATTCCATGTATAATTTTTCAGTATTGAAAGGATAATTTATTCAATTATGTTGAAAATTAGTAGCCTGAAAAAGAACTGGGTTACTTTACACAATTGCTGGCCATGTATATTTTAATTTGTATTAAAATTCTCACTTAGTGTATATTTGATTTCCTGATTATGTACTGTTATTTCCATCAGACTATTTGCCTGTAGCTCTCTTAATTATTATCCTTCATTTTAGTTAACATTTCAGCACATTATTTATTAACAATATTTACTTACTATAGTAATTTTTGTTGACTTACTAAAATTAGTGTTCCACTAGGAAGGTTTATTGAAGTGTATTTAGAGACTGAAATATTTTGAACTAATTAGATTGCTTTTTCTAAAGATCTCACACAGATTTCAAAGAATCTATATGGAGCTTACTCTCTTGCTGTTGAACAATAGATGCAATTATTCTTCCAGACCCAATACATTTCCGTTTCCTATTCTGTTATAGTTCAGCAAAACAACTTTTGTCACTTCTGAGTGGTAGCTGCTAAGCTGCAGGCCAGGCAGTTGCCTGATTTCATCAAAGCAGGCTTATTGTAGAGAAGCCTAAGTTGAATCTGTGCTTGTTTTCTCGGCCAGTCCAAATTCAGCTTCACTACCTTCTTCTAGAAGGTTGAAAATATAAAATGGTTAAGAAGGTGGTGAAATTTGAAAAAGGACTTTAGATTTTCTCACAGTGAAGACTTCTGTTTATGAAAATGAGGACAGAGCAGAGTGGCTCCAGCTGGGATCAAGGTGGGGTGGAGCTGGCAGCGTCAGGGAAGGGTTTGTCGACGCTGCTGCGGGCGCCGGCCCACTCTAGTTCGGGATTCCAGGCAGAGTTCAGGTTCTTCCTCAGAGTTTAGGAATTTAGAGACCATCAGTATTCATGGAGAGTCATTTATTCCGTTTTTTTCCCCTCTTTTGCTCCTTTCTACGTATGTTCTTTTAATGGTCATTATAGATACTTTCGTAGGTATACTTAATAAAATCTAAAGTTGGTATCTTTATTCTCTTCCTGACCATTACAAGGACCTTAGAATGCCTTGACTTCATTTCTTCATTTCCCCTTCCCAATTTATGTGCTATTATTTCCAAATATTTTAGTTGTATACATTAACCCCACACATTAGACATTTTTGCTGTTTTATGCAATCAGTGTGTGTATAGATTTACCCTTATTTTTGCTCACTATTCTGTCTTGCTTTGAGGACCTTCCATCTGGGATAGTTTTCTCCTCTACCTTAAGTGCATTCCTTTAAAATCTCCTTTAGTTGAGGATCTCTTCTTTCAGCTCTTGTTTGTCTGAAAACGTCTCACTGCCTTCTCAGATGGGGTTGAGGCTGCTGGGCTTACGGTTATTCCCTGTGGGACTGTGGAGGGGGCATTGCTTGTTTCCCAGCTCCCGTTGTTGCTGTTTTGAACTTGGCCGTCAGTCTAATTCCTGTTTCTTGGAAGGTCATCTGTCTTTTTTCCCTGGCCTTTAAGGTTGTGTAATTTCACTACAGTGCATCTAAGGATACCCAAATGTTTTGTTTTGTTTTGTTTTTTAACATGTCTTAATTTATGTTGCCCAACATAGCAGTCCTTTCCTTAAATTCTTTTCGGTGTGGTTGAGCACAGAGAGCCGTGCACTGTGCCCACTGTGTTAGCGTCCTGCAGCTGCCCTAGCCAAGGTCCACAGACTGGAGGCTTAAAGCAGCAGAAATTTATTGATTTATTTTTTTAAAGATTTTATTTTTCCTTTTTCTCCCCAAAGCCCCCCTGGTGCATAGTTGTGTATTTTTAGTTGTGGGTCCTTCTAGTTGTGGCATATGGGACACCGCCTCAGCAAGGCCTGATGAGCGGTGCCATGTCCCTGCCTAGGATTCGAACTGGTGAAACCCTGGGCCACCGAAGCGGAGTGCGCGAATTTAACTACTCGGCCCCGGGGCCGGCCCCACAACGGAAATTTATTGCCTCGCAGTTTAGGAGGCCGAAAGCCTGACATGAAGGTGTTGGCAGGGCCATGCTCCCGTCTGAGTCTCTGGGGAGGTGCTTCCTGGCCTCTTCCAGCTTCTGGTGGCCTCAGGTGTCCTCAGCTTGTGGCAGTGTAATTCCAGTCTCTGCTCTGTCTGTATATGGCCATCCTCTCTCTGTGTCTGTGTCTAATTTCCTTTTTCTTATAAGGACCCCAGTCCTATTGGATTAAGGGCCCACCCTCCTCCAGTACAACCTCACCTTAACTAATTCCATCCACAGTGACCGTCCTCAATGACCTCAAGTTCTGAGGAGATTAGCACTTCAGCATACCTTTTCAGCGGACACAGTTCAACCCATAACACACATTATAAATAAAGTTATCATGCTGTGCCAGAGAATTACAAAAGCTTTTTAAAATGTAAGACTTTTCTGCTTATCTTGCAGTATTTCTTCGAAAAGTCAGGTAACGCGCTGGATAGACTGGGTGGGGCGGGAGGCGTGGCTGAGGACACAGACTGGAGAGGAGGAGGTGGGGACGGTCGGGCGGGTCTGAGGGAGACGGGCAGGGTCTGAGAGGTCAGTGGGTATGAATTTTTAGTGATAGAGCTTCTTTTTTTCTTTTTTGTGGAACTGCTTGCTTTGAGTGGTGGGTATGTTTCTATGAAGATTATAAGGAAAATCATCCTGAGAAGGACTGTTGCTTGTCACACTTTTTCTTTTCCTACTTAAGTCGTTATTTTTTCCTTCTCAGTGAGCATTATTTGAGATAAAGAACTTATTTTTAAGGGATGAATCAAACTAAAAGTGAATCATAGTTCTTGACATGGGGTATTTGGGGCAGATAATGGCTGCTGTCTTTTTTCTTATCTAGATGAGGTTTATGGAAATGAGTCCTTTTCTTTGAGAGACCTTCAGTAACTTAGTGATAATTGTGTAAGCCTGCCAGCGCCACGTATGCCTGAACTGGACTCAGTTATGTTTGCTATTCAACCTAATAAGGTTACTTGTCATACTTCTGTTTAAATCACATGAAATATTCAAATCATGTACAGGGTTATTTTTTCCCTGTTTATGAAAAGACTCTGTTCTTTCCCCCTGCTGTGAGTACTTGAAGCTTCTATAATTGAATTGGTCAGATGTCCTCAAAGCTGCTCTTTACAGCATCACGGCGCTGGCAAGACGTCTTGCTTTTGCTTTCAGTAACTGGCGGTGTTGTTTAACCCAGGAGGCCGCGGCTTGACGATGCTGTTGGCATTTAGTGATCTAGTGCTTTTATTCTTTTTGTTTTTTTTCTTCAGGATTCTTGGACTCCAGAATTGAAGTTGAAGTTGGAAAAGTTTCTGGCTTTAATTTTTAAAGCGAGTAACACGCCAAAGCTTTTAACGTTGTATGTATCCTTTTGAAGCAAGTGGAGCCCACCTATGGTGTTCGAGTAGCATGCTGGCTTAGATTGCCTCAGAAATAAGGATGAGTGACAGCATTGCTTCCATAGTTACGAGGTGAATGAAGCATTAGTGGGAGGATGTGCGCAGGCCTGTAGAGGGTTGACGTCTGTGGTGTTGGGTCTCTGAGACCTGGCTGGGGTCTTATTTTTTTTATTTTTTATTTTTTTTTGCTGAGGAAAATTTGCCCTGAGCTAACATCTGTGCCAGTCTTCCTCTATTTTGTGTGTGGGTCACAGCCACAGCATGGCTGTCAGCGAGTGGTGCAGGTCTGCACCCAGAAACCGAACCTGGGCCACTGAAGTGGAGTGCACTGAACTTAGCCACTAGGCCTCGGGGCCGGCCCCTCGTGTTATTTTTAAGTCATGTGCCTAGAAGGAAAAAAAGTATCTATCTCTTGGAAAAGAACTCCTTGGAATAATTGTCCCTTTGCAGAAGATCAGTCAACTACTTTTAAGGCCTTGGCAACCACCTTGAGGTCATGGCATATGGATAACGTGATATATAGCTTATTATTTGAATTAGGACATTTTAAAAAAACAACTTTATTGAGGTATAATTTATACACCATAAAATTCACCCATCGTAAGTGTAGAATTTAATGATTTTTAGCAGATGTCTAGAGTTGTGCAGCCATCACCACAATCCATTTCAAATTGGGACACCCCAAGAGTAAAAAGGGGACACTAACTGGACAGAGTGCAGGGCGGCAGGTGTAAATGGAGCCCGACCGAGGAAGAGTGGGACGATGTCACCCGCCCACGGATGTCACCCGCCCACGGGAGGCTGGTTTCCCAAAGCTTGTTAGTCTTGAAGGATGCTTGTCTCCTTTTATTCTGAACAAGAATGTATCAAAAGTTATTTCATAACAAGAATGTAACCTTTTGAATTGTAAAGCTAGTGTTTGTTTTATTTAATTTAATGAAAATTTAGCCCACTTTGCTGCATAATACCATCTGTTTCCTTTCTAACTCCAAAGCCTTGCCCTCTCTTTTCCTAGTTGAACTCTTTTGTCCTTGGGATTCCATGATGTGTTTCTTCTACTTCAGCTTCCTAAGCCTTCAGTGGCTCCCTGTTGCCTGGATTGAATTCCTTAGCCTCGCCTTGAGACTGTCCACAGTTGGACTGAACCGCAGCTCTTCTCTCTGCTTTTATATCCTTAAGTTTTTGTTCAAGAACTTCCCTCTACCTACATACCATGTGTTTGCATGTGCAATCCTTTTTCCTCTTAGAGTTCTATATAAAATGCCAGTTTTCAGGGCCAGTCTGGTGGTATAGTGGTTAAGTTCGGATGCTCTGCTTCAGCCGCCCGAGGTTCACAGATTCAGATCCCTGATGCGGATCTACACATCAAGCCATGCTGTGGCAGCATCCCACGTACGAAATACAGGAGCATCGGCACAGATGTTAGCTAAGCGACAATCTTCCTCAAGCAAAAGGAGGGAGATTAGCAACAGATGTTAGCTCAGAGTCAATCTTCCTTAGAAAAAAAGGGGAAAAAAAGACAGTTTTCATTGAAATTAGGACTTTTCCAACTTGGCTTATGATTAGTTTAATACTCTTTTAAAAAACATTTCTCAGCTTAAACTGAATGGGTGCCAGTATGTTAAGATTCTAAATGAAATTATTTACATAATGAATTACATTAGTTGTAGTAATAATAGCACCCACTTCATAGGAATAACATGAGGATTGAGTTAATACATGAAACTTGCTTAAGACCATCCAGCACGTAGTAAGTGCTTGATAACTGTTAGCCGTTCGTATTCTGGTTTGCAAATACTTGTCACCTTTCACCCTGTTCAACAGGCTTTGAAGCAGATAGGCTGAAATATAGTAGGTAACTATAAACATTATTCCTTTCTTTTCCTTGTTACATGGAAATATTTGCAGTTCAGTTCAACACATTTATTAAGTTGAATATTGTGCTAGGAATTAGAGATACAAAGAAAAGGCCAAGACATAGTTCTCTTAGCCAAGTTGGAGTTTTGAACAATAAAATGGGAGTCTGTGAGGCCGACAGATGAGGGATGGGAATTCCAGCGAGAGGGAACGGCTCGTGCAAAAGCACTGAGCCAGTGTCTTTGGGGAACTACAAAGAATTCAGTGTTGCTGGAGCAGAAGGATGGTGAGAAAGTCAGAGACCAGGCAGGGCCCCGGGCATGAAGGTTTGTGTGCGGTCCTGCCTTTGAAGCACTCAAAACAGCAGCGTAACATGGTCATGTTTCTTTTTTATTCCTGATGATAAAATTGATCATACCTTATAGAAAATTTGGAAAGCACAGAAATGCATTTGTATACGTACATACACCCAAAAATATATAATGTTTACAACAAACAAAGATAGATACCTATATGTATGTGTATATTTTTTAATATTTTAATCAAACGAAGAGAGCATTTCCCATATTATTAAATATTCTTCAAAAGCAGGTTGTTTCCTCAAAAGTTTAAACATAGGGTTAACCATATGACCCAGCAGTTCCACTCCAGCTGCGTAGCCAAGAGAAATAAAAACAAGTGTCTACACAATAGCTTGTGCATGAATGTTCATAGCAATGTTATTCAAAATCACCAAAAAGTGCACACAACCCAGATATCCATTAACTAATGAGTGGATAAATCCACTGTGGCCTGTCCATACAATGGAATATTATTTGGCAATAAGAATGCATGAATTACTCATACATGCTACAGCGTGGGTGAACCTTGAAAGCATTAAGCTAAGTGAAGGAAGCCAGACCCAAAAGGCTGCGTCTCGTATGACTGCATTTGTGAAAGGTCTAGAAGAGGCAAATCTGTAGAGACAGTAGGTTAGTGGTTGCCTAGGGCTGCGAGGGTGGGGAAAATGGGGTGACTGCTGACGGATGCAGGGTTTCTTTTGTTGGGTGATGAAAATCGTCTACAATTAGTTGTTGTGATGGTTACACAACTGTGAATATGCCCAAAACCATTGAAATGGGTGAATGATACAATATATGAATTACCTCTCAATAAAACTGTTACCAAAAAAATTAAGAAAACCCAAACAAAACAAGTTAAAGACCTTGCCCTCAGCCCTGCAGCCGCACGGGTGGGAGCTGATTGAAACCCAGGCAGTCCAGTTCGATCATAGTTACTGTGCTATGCTGTTTTCATCCTCATTTCCATTTCCTCAGGATAAAGCTTTAGCACTGAAGCCACAGTGTTAAGGGTATGAATTCAGATTTGCATTTTTAGTAGAATGTTTTGGTAGCGGTGGGAAAGGTCTTTTGAAGAGGGTAAGGAGGCCAGTTAGGAGCTATTGAAGTAGGGCAAGACTTGGGTGCACACAGCAGTGACTGAGACGGAGAGAAGAGGCTTTATCTGAGAGGGAGTCATGAAGTGTTGAGAAGTCGGCTAACTGTCTCAGTCATTTATAGCAACGTGAAGACGTGGCCTTCACTGTCCTGGGAATTCTTTCTTTACCATGCCGAGGCTCCTTCGCAGATTGGCACCACAATGTGAGATGCCCTGAGTACTGTATCCTGAATGCCTGTTTTCCTAAACTTCTTCCTCATCCCAGAAGGAGAATGGACAAAGTAACAAAGGTAAATCATCTAGACTGAAATTTTTTTAGTAACAGCTTTACCAACTCAAGCTTTCAGTAACAGGATGGAGAGAATACCGCGGGCTTGGCAAAGGAGGACTTTAAAAGTCTAAATATTTGTGAAGTGCTTTGCAATCATTTTTACCTGCAATTCCTTGAGCCCCACTTTTCAGGATGGCTGGTATTGTTAGCTTCATCTTGCGTGTCAGATAACTAAGACCTGGAGAAGTGAAGAGAATCCGAGCAGTGTGCCAAAGGGACGTCACTGTAGCCACACGGTTAGAAGGCACAGACTAGCATGAGTGGGGAGAGAATTTTGTTAGTATCTTTCCCATTGACCTTGAACTAGATTAATGGTGTCTTATCTCAGAAGCAATGTGGAGTTCTCGTTCTTTTAAAGCATTTCCATTTTTTACATTCAAAGTAGGAATTCCAGTCTTAAGCTTTTAGCATAAAATGATGGTTTTCCATGGTCAGTAATTTTTTACCAGAACTGTTCATTTTTCAGAAAGGTGAGGAAAACTTTAGTTAACAGAATTGGTGGCCACAGTTGGGGTTCTTCGCCTGAGTTTTGTCTTTGATACTGCATCGTGAAAGCTGCTTGTGTTCTTACAGGTGTATGATACCCGCGGGAGGGGTATCTGATGTGTGGCATACTCCTCAATTGCCAGCAGGTGGAGTTTTACTACACGAAATAGCACGTGTGCCCTCTTCTCAGCAGAGTAATGTTAGAGAGGATGTCAACACTTCCTGCCATTGTTGTTCAGTGGTTTTTTTAGAAGGTTAAAATTTGCTAAGAAGAGGACGCGTTAGTAAATTATTTAGCTCTTTGCTTTCCGGGGAGTGGACAAATGAGCAGTGCTTCAGACTCGACACAGGGCAGCTTTAGTAGCTTCCGAGGAGGAGAGTTAGAATGTTTTCGCCCTGTGCAGCCTCGCATATCTCCAGCCCAGCAGTTCTAAGTGTGCAGCTGGTTCTGCCAGCTGTGCCGCTCCTCCTGTATCTGAGAGGGGACAGGCCCCACTGGCCCTTCATGGAGGAGCAGCCAGTCTCAGGAATTATTTCTCTCGGTCCCAGACCTGAACACAGAGGAGGAGCAGGGGTACAGACACGGCCTCCTGGGGTCAACATGGAATGCTCCGAGTCACCAGGCTGCAGCCTTGGAGCTCCCTGAGGTTGCTCTGCCCCCGCACAGTGATGCCTGAGGATAAGTCCTAGTGGTCTCTTCAGCTCCTCAGGCCTGCTCCCTGCAGTGTTGGGGCAGTTCCCAGGCCTTGGCTAGAGTGGGTCCTGTGCCGGTTTTCTCGCATCCAGCACAACTGGAATTCTTACACGGGGCTGCGCACTTGGCTCTCCTACTGCAACTCCTGGCACTGCTCCTCTGTCCACTAGTTCTAGTTCTATGAGTGCTTAGCAAACCACCTCAGACTCAGTGGCATAAAACGACCAAGTCCATTCATTATTATTATCATCATCTTGCGTGGTCTGGGAGTTGTGGGCTCAGTTAGGCACTTCTCCCTCGGGTGTCTCATGGGTGCAGACAGGGCTGGGTGGAGCCATCTCCAAGGCTTCCTCACCCGTGTGCACAAGGTGGCTGATGCTGACTTTCAGCTGGATCTCAGCAGAAGCCTTTGACTGGAACAACTACATGGACTTTCCATGTGACCTGGGCTTCCTCAGGGCACGCACGGTGGCTGGGTTGCAAGGGTGAATGTCCCCAGAGAGAGCCAGTTGGAAGCTGTGTCACCTTTTCTAACGCAGCCTCTGAAGTAACTCAGTGTCATTTCTGCTGGCTTCTCTTCATTAGAAGCGAATTCCTAAGGCCAGCGTAGGTTCAAAGGAAGGAGAATGGCATTCCACCCGTTGATGGGAAGGAGCGTCGAAGACCTGCAGTTAGATTTTAAAACCGCCACCCTACCTGCATCCTTTGGGCCCCACAGAGCTGCCTTGGTTCTTAACTGACTCTGCTCAGTCCCTGTTCAGATTTGGTCTTTGGACTCCTAGGCAATGGGGGAGGGAAGGTGATAAGCAACTTCTCCCCGATTCCTGAGTTTCTGCCAGCTCCTGTCACCCCAGCATACCCTGCAGTTTTTGAGGGCAGCCTTTTGCTGGGAACCAGTTATGTCTCTGATAAGTGGCCCAATTTTGCAGACAAAATAAACATGAAAGGGGAAATGCAAAGAAAAGCCTGTGTTTTTCTACAGATCTTTGATTTGGAATTTCCGCAAGGAGCCTGGGGTTTCCGAGCCTTCTTTGAGTTTGATTTTAATTGAATTTTCTGGGGATAGCCAAGCAGAATGTCTGTGGAATTGAGTCTGGCAGGCACAGTGTGTGTCTATAGCTGAATAAACCCTGAAAGGCAGTATTGCCATGGAGATCAGAGATTAGCACTGCAGGGCACTTGAACCAGGCCGAGTGTCACGACAGCTAGTTTGTCACCAGCGCAGGCTGCAATGGCCGCAAGGCACAGACATGCCCTCACTTCTAGACTTAGGTGGTGGTTCTTTTTTTAATTGGATGGTTAGGTAATATCATTATTCTATGTGTCTTGACAGGTTTCATGGATAAAGTGAGATTTCCATAAGCTTTTGAAGAAGGCAAGAAAAGGGCTTAGAATGGAAAATTCTCTCAAAAGGAATTACGTTAAAAAATAGTGTTTAGAACAAAGACTTAGGTTGACAATATAGCATATTGATTATTTTCACCTAGCCACCTAAAAAGGATGTAGAAATAGTATCTTATAGCATATCTGTCATTAATTGATTTGGCTCCTTCAGAAAATGAGCAACTGATCATTTTTCTGGAGTTCAGAGCCCTAAGTAGTATTTTTAAAAATTGTAACCTGTATTCGTAGTTGTAAGTCACAACTTTCTTCATCCAGTATTTATGGATTAGCAAAATAGCAAAGAGCTGATTTAGATCTGAGTACAAGAAGAAAGAGTATATCGTAAAGATAGAGTGAGTGGTTTTAGGTTTTTATATTAGGTTAAAAAACAAGTCCGTATTTTAAAATGTCTCATTTTGTCTTGAGCAGCCAAGGAGTCTCTAAAATTAAATCTCGTCTGCTCTGAAAAGAAAAGAAAGGGAGGGGGCTGGCCCGGTGGCGCAGTGGTTAAGTGCACACGTCCCACTTCGCTGGCCCGGGGTTTGCCGGTTCAGATCCCGGGTGCGGACATGGCGTCGCTTGGCAAGCCATGCTGCGGTAGGCGTCCCACATATAAAGTACCTGAAGATGGGCACGGAGGTTAGCTCAGGGCCAGTCTTCCTCAGCGAAAAGAGGAGGATTGGCAGCAGTTAGCTCAGAGCTAATCTTCCTCCAAAAAAAGAAAAGAGAAAAAAAAGGAATACACCTAAGTAAAGTAGGAATGTTAGTACGAGAAAACTTAACTGCTTGACTGTAGGAAGGTCTCCATCACTTTGTTATTGCTTCATCGCATGCTGGAATTAGAGAACTTTCTGTGACCTTAACTGGTATTCTTTTAGTTGTATATATCTCTTGTTTAAACCTTGGAATGCAATTCTTTGGACTTTTGCACAAATTATGTCACAAGTTTTGAAATGTGAAGAATCTTAATAAATTTTGCTAGCATGACTAAGACAGTTTCGTTAAAATAACATGGAATAAGACATCTCATTAAAAGCTGAGATCCTGCATGGCAAGGCGTCTTGGCTTAGTTGTCCTTGTCTCATAAAACTTTTGACAGGGAAAAAAGAGTCAAAGTTCTGTTTAATGCTCAGAAATAAAGTTGATGTTTTGAGCTGTGGCCCAAATAGCTTACAGTGATGATCAGGTCCTGTTTGTAGCCAGCTAAGGTGTCTGCAAGGTGGGGTCGGGATAGCGGGCTCTTTGGGTAAGTGGTGTCTTTGAAGTGGTCACAAATGTTTCTGCCCAACTGCTGGCTTCTCTCCTTCCTATAGGCTGCTGGCAGTTCAGTCTCTATTCCCGCAGGTGTGCCATACTTTGAAATTGCCATAAATTCCACTTGTGGGCTCCTAAGGCAACGTTCCATAAGTAGTCCCTTAATTGTACAATGAGTTTCTGAGGGGAAGAATTCCTTTGTGCAGTCTCTTTTAGAGAGGGACTACTTTGATGGCATTAACATTGATGATTTGGGAGGTCACGTGACCCAGCTAATGGGTTTTGGTACTTCCTTCATTATCTACTACTTGGTACCTGTTGAGAAAGTTCACACAGATACTCTCTAATATTTACTACCACAAAATGGGATTATGAGTATTCTGTAGAATTTTCATTGTTGGAAGTTCTAGTTTATGTAATTTTGAATTTTTTACATATGAAAAAGCTCTAATAATACTTGGTGTAGGAAGAAGGTAATGACTCCCTGTCCCTAAGAACATGTAAGGAGAAGCTTGATAAATGATTTCCAGGGATGTTCTCCAGAGGTTCAAATACTGGGTGTAAATTTGTGCCAGATGACTTTTTCAAGTTATCTTTTAATACTGAGATTTGATGGGTGCTAAATAATAGTAACAGTTCATTATTGTGTGATATTTTGGATTTTAATAGTTAAAATATTTTACTTCTGCACATCAACGATCATGAAACATGAAAGTTTTTGAGATACGATTTGAATGTGGGTGCTCCTCATAGATGTTTAGGGCACAAATTAGGAGGAATAGTAGTTCAGGACAGTGGCTCTCAAACTTCTGGTATGTGCCAGAACCATTTGGGGAGTTTTTTTTTTTTTTTAACAATATAGATACTTAGTCCCTACCCAATAACCACAAAATCAGAGTCTCTGAAGGTGAGGCTTGATCATCTTTATTTTGGGTAATTCTGATATATTTCAAAATTTGCACACCACTGCTTGAGCATGTAACTCTTCTGCCACTTTTTCAAGTGATCTACTTGCACAGAGATACATTTAGAAAAATCTTTGACCCCTTCCCATGAAAGGAAATAATAACAACGGCTGCCACTTACTGATCATCTGCTATGGGCCAACATTGTGCTAGACACTGTGAGCATATTTCTTCTTTTACTCCTCACAATAACTCTTCAAGGTCATTATTATTTTCCCCATTTTCTTATAGGTTGAAAAGTGAGAATCAGAGAAGTTGAATGTTGTGCCCCAGGCTACCCAGCAAGAAAGTGGTAGAGTAGGGATTTGAGCCCAGGTCCTTATAATTTAAGAGTCTTTCTCTGTATACATGAAATGTGTTCTAAAATGAAGACTTTCAGTGTTACCCAGTGCCTGAATTGGGACAGTAGTCTGGGGGCAGCATCATTTCCTTCTATTCAAACGTGGCCCTCCAGGGAAGGGAGAAGTAGGATGGGGCAAAGGAGTGCTGACACGGAAGAAGATTCACCTGACCCAACTGTGCCCAGGGTGGCTTGGTCATCAGGTGCTGCCCGAGGGATAGTGGGGGTGTTGGATTCTACGAAGAGAATTCTAGAACCTTCCAAGGCTGCCTGCTCAAGGGCCGGTGGGGTGATTTATGCTTTAATCAAACTGGCCGAGTGAGCACTTGGAATCTTACCTCATTCTAGATTCTAGTTTTCTCCAGCATCAGTCAGGCAGCCCCTAACCTTTACTTAAAACAAGGAACTGTCCTGTGGTTATGAATTGTGCCCCAGACGACCTCCCAGGGCAAAAACAGAGAAGAAGACATAGGTTTGGTTCAGCCATTTTGTGAGCTGATTACAGAAAGAAATCTTGAGTTAGTTTCTTGCACATAGAAGAACTAAAAGAAATTGCATGGGGTTCAGTCAGGAAAATAGATTTTGTTAGGAAAACCGGTATGAGTCGATTGGGCTACTAAAGACAACATATCGAAAGTCAGTGTTTATGAAGCACTTTGCAATTAAATGTGGCATGAAATGGGAGTAAAGTGCTAAACACAAAGTAAAGTATAAAACATGAGTTTATTGTTACAACAAAATATTCTGACAGTAGGTATGATATTCCGTTGAAAAGAATATAATTATTTTTTATTTTGTGGGATTTTTAAAAATAATTGTTTTTTTGTTTTGTTTTAATGTAAATATAATTTATTTTCCTAGAAATGTTGCAGCAGCTCCACCAGCAGCTGGTAGAAGCTGAGCGAAGGTCAATGACATACCTGAAACGGTACAATAAGATCCAGGCGGACTACCACAATCTCATTGGAGTCACAGCAGAGCTGGTGGATTCTCTGGAGGCCACAGTCAGTGGCAAGATGGTAAGGAAGATTCCCCAATAGTTCATGTGTCTTTTTCGAGATAAAGATGCATTATGGGCATGGACTGTGTTGATGCGCGATTCCTGGCCACTCCCAGCCAATGACACCCGCCCTTCTACTTCACAAAGCCAATGGGCAGAGGAGACCAAGCTGACGTGCCATGCTGTTTGTCATGCTGCTTGCAGTATTTCATCCATTTTTCCTGACACATTATCCACCATGTCTTTATTTCTCTAACTTATTCTTAATGTTAGCAAAGAACAAATTGGCAATAGAAAAAAATATTATGTATTGGCATAAAAATGAGGAGGAAATACCCTGCTGGTAAATAGGAAAGCAGTATATTTTGTATCCAGCTACCTTTCTGAACTCTATTAATCTGAAAGATTCTTTTGATTGATTTTCCATATTCTAGATTGGCAGTCATATCATCTTCAAATAATGATATTTTTGTTTCGCTTTTCTCATTATATATTATAACTTTCTTTTTCTTAGCTAAGACTCTGGGACATTGGCTAAGACTATGGGACATTGGTCAGTAATGTGATCATGGGCATCTTTGTCTTATTCCTGACTTTAATGGGAATGACTAATGTTTTACTTAATAAAAAATTAGAAAGTGTAATACAATCTCTTTGTGGAAATATAATTTTTTTAAAAATGGAAGTAATTGTAGGTTCATATGTAATTTAAGAAATAGCGCAGAGAGGGCTCTTGTACACCTTGCCCAGTTTCCTCCAGTTGTAACATTTTTCTATGATCTATATTATAGAAAATTTCAGAAATATAGAACTGTGGAAAAGTAAAATTAAAATTACCTGTAATTGTCTCACTTAGTAATAACACTTGGTAACATTCCAGACTTCTTTCAATACTTAGATACACGTTTTATAAAAATGGGCTCTAGTTCACACAGCTTCCTAATCTGCTTTCTTCCTTGGTGCTGAGTCCTGCGTTCTTGAAGTCGTTAAATGTTCCACGATGCCTCACCTTTAGTGGCTGGAGAGTTTTCCGCCACACGGCAGTGTCTTACTTTAGTGTCAGCTTCCTCTTCTTGGACATTTAGGTTGTTTTCCAGGTTTTCACTTTCCTGAATTATAAACATAGAGGGAGACATCCCTGGAGATGGGCTGTGTTACATTTTTTAAAGTTGATTTTCTAGGTTGAAATCTATGCTAAGGCCCCCCAGGAGGGTTTTGCTAATCTGATTCCACTGATAGTTCATTTTCTTATGCCCTGGCCAATCTTGAGTATTATCATTAAAATTTTTGTGTTTTGCAAATTTGACAGGTGAGAAATAGTATCTCAGGATTTAAATATACAGTACGTTCATTACATGTGCAATCGAACATTTTTTATGTGCGTCTCTCATTCATTTAACAAAGATTTGTTGAATACTTACCGTGTGCCAGGCCCTGTTCTAGGCGACTGGGCTACATCAGGCAACAAAACAAAGATCCCTGCCCTCACGGAGGGCACACTCAGTAGCAGGAGAAAGATAATAAACGGTCAACATAAAGACAATAGATAAGGAAATTATGTAGTGTGCTAGAAAATGGCAAGTGCTATGAGAAGAAAAGTGAAGTGGGGTAAAGAGGGTCAGAGTTTGTGGGGATATGTGTATATGGGCAGGGGGCAATTTTAAATAGGCAGTCAGAGGAAGCTTCATTGATGGTGGACGTTTGAGTAAACACTGAAGAGAGGTGAGAGAATTAGTTATGTGCTTCTCTGGGATTCTCCCAGAACTCTAGCCCGGAGGAACAGCCGATGCAATGGAACAAAAGAGGGAGCGTGTCTCGTGTGTTCGAGTGATGCCAAGAGTCGGTGTGGCTGGAGTGAGTGAGGGGGAGAGCGAGGGAGAAGTGGAAAGTGAGACACAGTAGGTCGTGAGGGGCCTGCGGGGGCCATGGTGAGGATTTGGGCCTTTACTACAAGTAAACTGCGGAGCAGCACAGTGGAGTGGTCTGGTCTGGCATGTTGTGAAAGGATCACCTGGCTGTCTTTTAGATTAGTCCATAGTGGGGTTAGGGGAAAGTCGGGAGACCAGCAGGAAGGGTCTTGCAGTCATGGAAGGGAGACCCGGTGGTGGTGGAGGTGGCAGGTGAGGTGGGAGAAGTGCTCGCTGGGTGTGGGGTGAGGTAGAGCCAACAGGATTGGACCTGGGGAGACAGAGACAGAGGGGCTTAAAGGATGACTCCGAGTTTCTGGCCTAAGCTACTGGAAAGGTAGCATTGCCCCAGCTGGGACAGGGAAGGCCTTGGGTGGGGCAGCTTTGGGGAAATCAGAATTTCAGCTTGGGACGTGGCTATCAGACATGGGCCATTCACAGTTCATCTTTTGTAAGTTCATCTTTGTAAGTATTTTCCTGTTTGTTGCTTTTTAATTTAATGTTCCTTAATTTAGTAAAGTTTACGTTTTTATGTAGTCAAATCTATCAATATCTATCAATTTCCCTTTATCCATTCTGCCTTTTCATAATGTTATTAAAGAAGCTTTTCCCACTGAAGGGGCTAGAATAAATATTCACCTTAATTTTCTTCTATTGATTGTTTTGTTTGACAAAAAAAAGACATGCACATAGTTAGAAAATTTAAGCAGTACAAAAATAAATAAAAAGAAAAACATATGTTTTCCTTTTGCTTTTTCTCCTGTTAAAAAATAACCACCATCGGGGCCAGCCCCCTGGCCGAGTGGTTAAGTTCTCACGCTCTGCTTCAGCGACCCAGGGTTTGCATCCTGGGCGTGGACAAGGCACCGCTCATTAGGCCATGTTGAGGCAGCGTCCCATATGCCACAACTAGAAGAACCCACAACTAAAAAATATACAACTATGTACTGGGGGGATTGGGGGAGAAAAAGGCAGGAAAAAAAAAAAAAAGAAGATTGGCAACAGTTGTTAGCTCCCAGGTGCCAATCTTTAAAAAAATGAACAAATTAAATAAATAAATAAATAACTGCCATCATCCTGGTGTGCCTCTTACAGCCAGGGTTGATGTGACACTGGGTGTGGCATGCTGACTAGGGATGTGCACATGAGCTCTTATTGTTGCAGTGGCAAGCAGATGCCCACAGACCACCAGGCAGAGGCTGAAGCAGCCTCAAATATCAAGATGGGGAGGGATGGGGGGGCACAGAGACTGGAATCTTAACTAGCTTGTTTTTAATATAAAGAAATACATGCTCATGGTAGAAAAATGAAACAATTCAGAGGAGTGTATAGTAAGGAGCAAGAGCCCCCTTCCCACATGCAATTCCTTAGTCTCATTTCCTTATGGATATTCAAGATTAACATTTTCTTGTGTATTGTTTCAGAACATTTCTATGCATATGTCTCTGTGTGTGTGCACACACACACCCATATGTATATGCAGCATACACATACTTGCTTGGGATCATATGGTCCATTACTCTTCTGAAACTTGCTGTTTCACTTTCAGTTATCTTGGAGATCTTTTCACATGACCACACCTGCCTCATTCTTTTTAACACTTGTACATTATTCCATTGTAAGGGTGAACCATAATTCGTCAGCTCTCTAATGATAAACATTTAGATTTTTTGTTTACTCTAACAAAAATGTTGCAGGAAGCATTCTTGTGCATACTGTATACCTTTGAATTTAGGTAAGATTAGATTCCAAGAGTGGAATTGCTAGTCTCCTGCGCTGTAACCTCTTGCTCATGTGAAAGCACAGCACATAGACATTCACAAAACTGCTGGAAGTTACTTGGTATGGCTGGAGCGGCCAAAGCTCGGGGGGTTATGGGCGTGAAAATTTTGATAGATGTTACCAAATTATGTCTCCTAAGATTTCAACAGTGTCTACCCACCTCCTACGCCCAGTAGTGTATCAGAGTGTCTATTTCTCCACACACTTGCCAACACTAGACATGATTATACTTTGAAATCTTTGCCAGTTTGGTAAGTAAAACTTGGTATTCTGAATGTCTCAATTTACATTTCTTTAATTTTTTGTGAGGCTGAATATATTTTCATGTGTTCTTTGGCCGTTTATATTCTGTTTTTTAGTCAGCTGTTTATTCATGTCCTTTCCTCATTCACCTGTTTTAAGCAAGAAAGTGACATAATCAGATTTCCTTGTTGGAGAAATAGTTCTGGTAGAAGTTCCGGAAGTCAGAAGAGGAAACAGTTTCAGGAGTAAAGGGTTGACCCAAAGTCTCAAAAGCCACAGAAAACTCCAGAAGACTGGAACTGGAAAGCGTTCAATGCTTTTGACATTTAGAAGGTCATTGGCGGTGACCTTTGCCACATGAGTTTCCCTGGAGCGATGCAGGTGGAAGCTTGCTTACAGTTGTTGGAAGGTACAGGGGAGGTGAGAGCAAAGGTAGCTGCTCTCTCAAGGCCCTCGGCTGTGAAGGAGGAGTATTGAGAGGGCGGTTGGTAGATGGAGACCTGGGGTGGAGAGAAGGAAAGATATGTTTTTAATATGAAATATACATGGACGTGGTTTTAAGTTGTAGAGAATGAGCAGGTGTAAAAGGAAAGGTTAATACAGAAGGAGAAAGGAATGTTTAAATTTTGATACCATACGAATTCAGAGGAAATGGACTCAGGATAATGTAGGAGCTGCAGGCTTGAGATAGGTCCTTCTTTGTCTGAGTCACTTAGGGCTGAGTGTTGAGAGGTGACCAGAGACATCTGCCATGGATGGACAGAGCCTTTTATGTGGTTGAAGCAGACGAAAAGCTTCCAGTGGGTAGATGGGAGTCCTATAGGGAGAGAAAGGGTCCAGCCCAGTATTCCCAACTCTTTCCAACTCACCAGTTGGTTGAGTAGTCCTCCTCTCATGGAGACAAGTGGGTGACGAGTAGGGAGAAAGGCCAGTGACATTACCATGTGGAAGTTCACCGCATGGAATCATGAGGCTGGGGGAGGGAGAGTCCTGTCTAACAGTCAAGCCAAGAGGAAAGTCTGGAAGAGTGCAAAATTGTTCCCAGCAGTTACCTCCAGGGAGTGGTTTGTGGGGGAGGAGTGAGATTGGGGGATAGGTTGTGGCACTCATATGTTTTAAATGAGCATGTATTATTTTTTAAAAAAGAAAAAGTTTCAGAGATTACCACCTTAGATGTGTATCAATCCTGAATTATAGTAGCTAATGAGGTATGAGAGATGCTCAAGACAAACGCTACAGTATAGTAGCATTGAGGGGAGCAGTAATTCAGCCTCTCGTTGTCAGGCACCGGATAGTGTATGAAGATGTCTCCATCATTAAATGTTCATTCAGCGTTTACCAAGCCGCCTGTCATATGCTGGGCGTATCCATAATCTCGTTTACCCATCTCACAGTGACCCAGAGGGGTAGAAATTATTCATTTCATTTGACAGGTCACAAAAACAGGAGGCAGAGCTCTTGGTTTCCGCAGGAGTCCACAACTTGAGCCCACATCTTCACATTTTAAACCCAGCATCGTTCCACTACATTGTGGCCACTCAATGACTTTATTGCTTGAATTAACAAAAAGTGGTTTAAAATCAGTTAATTTTACATGACAGTGGGAGTACGTCGTGGAATTACACAAAGTGTGATATCCCGTGCTCAGGCCTGTGGTACGTTAGCCGTTTTTTCTGTCAGGCTTAATGCTTTAACCCCCAAGGCCTCCTATGTTAAAGCAAAATTTTGCCTCTGTCCCTTATGGAGGAACTGTTGAGAGACAGCTCTGATGATTGCTAGGCCGCCTCAGGTCCTCTGCATGAACTTTGCGCCTTTCACCAGAAGTCCTCGTGTCCTCTTTGCAGATCACCCCGGAGTACCTGCAGAGCGTCTGCGTCCGCCTCTTCAGCAACCAGATGCGGCAGAGCCTGGCACACAGCGTGGACTTCACGAGGCCCGGGACGGTGAGGCTCTGTGCCCATGGTCTGCCCCCCAAGTTTAATATAACGGAAATGAAAAAAAAGAAAGAGCAGGAGAAATGATATTCAGGAGTCTGTATTTCAGCTGGGCTTGGAGGTCTCGAAATTCCCAGAGAGAGAAGAAGGCTGTGTTTGAAGAGTGAGCAGCTGGAAGCCAGCCTCCTGGGGGTGGTGGGAGAGAGGTGTGCTCTGTCCTTCCCAATGGAGCTTCGCGATGGGGTGTGGGCCTGGCGACAGAAGCAAGTCAACAGGAAACAAAGGGACCTGTATTCTCTTTCAGAAATAACTGCCGTACTGGAAGTTGTACTGCCTATGGCAGGGGCTTTCTTATTTTTCGTTAACTTTTTACTTGGAATTATTGCGAACTTACAGAAAAGTTGAAAAAGTAGCACAAAGGACACTTACATACCCTTTACCCATGTTCATCAACTGTTGGCATTTTACCTGTTTGTTTACTTGCTCTACACACACACACACAGAGTTTTCTGAACCATCTGAAGATGAATTACATATGTCATGGCCCTTTACTCCTATACGAGTGCAGTGTATTTATTAACAGAATATTCTCTTATATAACTGTCCAGTTGTCAACTCCAGTAAATTTAGTATCGGTACAGCATGCTCATCTGCCGTGCGTTCTCCAGGTTGTGCTGAGCCGTCGATGTCCTTTAAGCTTACTCCTCGGCGGTCGTCTGGGGTCACGTGCTGCGGGGAATTGTCATGTCTCTTTAGCCGCCTTTAATTTTAAACATTCCCCGAGTTTTTCTTGGACTTTCATGACGTTGGTAGTTTAGAAGAATATAGTTAAAAATAGAACATTTCTCCTTTTGTGTTTGATGTTTCCTCGTGATTAGATTCAGGTTTGCATCCCAGGCCAAAATATCACGCAGGTGATGTGTCTTTCTTGGGGTAGCTGCTCTGGAGGCATATGGTGTTGAGTGGGGGTTCTTAATCAGGGAGTGAGTAGCTCCGTGTCTCCTGAGGAAGTTTCAGAGTTCATGAACCCCTGTCCTTACAGCTCACAGCGGCCTGGTCCAGAGGCCGAGTGGGTGGAAACAGGCACTTTCAATTAGGAAGGACGTGCTGGGTGATCCTGGGGCACCGCCATGGGTCAAAGCCATGACTTTTAATTAAGGGTTTGTGTGTTAATATTAGGGTCTTCTTAAACAGAGGCCTTTTTTTTTTTTTAACTTTTTGTTAAGATTGTGATAGTTTACAACCTTGTGAAATTTCAGTTGTACATTATTGTTAGTCATGTTTTAGGTGCACCACTTCACCCTTTCTGCCCTCCTCCCACCGCCCCCCATCCCCTGGTAACCACCAGTCAGTTCTCTTTGTCTATATATTTAACTTCCACCTATGAGTGGAGTCATACAGAGTTCATCTTTCTCTATCTGGCTTATTTGACTTAACATAATACCCTCAAGGTCCATCCATGTTGTTATGAATAGGACGATTTAATCCTTTTTTCTGGCTGAGTAGTGTTCCATTGTGTGTGTGTGTGTGTGTGTGTGTGTGTGTGTGTGTGTGTATTATATCTTCTTTATACAGTCATCAGTTGATGGGCACTTAGGTTGCTTCCACATCTTGGCTATTATAAATAATGCTGCGATGAACATAGGGGTGCATGGGACTTTTGGAATTGCTGATTTCAAGTTCTTTGGATAGATACCCAGTAGTGGGATGGCTGGGTCATATGGTATTTCTATTTTTAACTTTTTGAGAAATCTCCGTACTGTTTTCCATAGTGACTGCACCAGTTTGCATTCCCACCAGCAGTGTATGAGGGTTCCTTTTTCTCCACAACCTCTCCAACATTTGTCACTTTTTGTTTTGGTTATTTTTGCCATTCTAATAGGTGTAAGGTGATATCTTAGTGTAGTTTTGATTTGCGTTTCCCTGATGTTTAGTGATGATGAGCATCTTTTCATGTGTCTATTAGCTATCCGTATATCTTCTTTGGAGAAATGTCTGTTCATGTCCCCTGCCCATTTTTTGATCAGGTTGTTTGATTTTTTCTTGTTGAGCTCTGTGAGTTCTTTATATATTATGGAGATTAACCCTTTGTTGGATATATAACTTGTAAATATTTTTTCCCAACTAGTGGGTTGTTTTTTTGTTTCAATCCTGTTTTCTCTTGCCTTGAAGAAGCTCTTTAGTCTGATGAAGTCCCATTTGTTTATTCTTACTATTGTTTCCCTCGTCTGAGGAGTTATGGTGTCCGAAAAGATTCTTTTAATACTCATGTCAAAGAGTGTACTGCCTACATTTTCTTCTAGAAGCCTTATAGTTTCAGGTCTTATCTTTAGGTCTTTGATCCATTTTGAGTTTATTTTTGTGAATGGTGGAAAAGAATGGTCAATTTTCATTCTTTTACATGTGGCTTTCCAGTTTTCCCAGCACCATTTGTTGAAGAGACTTTCTTTTCTCCATCGTATGCCCTCAGCTCCTTTGTCAAAGATTAGCTGTCCATAGATGTGTGGTTTTATTTCTGGGCTTTCAATAAACAGAGGCCTTTTTAGTATTAAAAAATATTTTAAGCCTTCCTCATTCTTAAGTAGGTTTGAAGCAGCTTATTAATATGAGAAAACACAAATATAAGAAATGAAAAAATAGAAAAAAAAATAAAGGAAAAAATTGTGGTTAGAACTCGTGGAAACAGAAAGTAGCTTGGTGGTTTCCAGGGACTGGGTGGTGGGGGAAGTGGTGAGATGTTGGTCAGAGGGTACAAACTTCTGGTTATGAGATAAGTAAGTTCTGGGCATGTAGTGTACAGCATGCTGACTATGGTTAACAGTACTATATTTAGACTTGAAAGTTGTCAAGAGAGTAGATCTTAAATATTCTCACCACACACACACGCACAAAGGTGAGGATGGATGTGTTCACTAAACCTTATTGTGGTCATCATTTTACAATACATACATATCTGAAATCATCCTGTTTGCACTTTCAGCTTACACAGTGGTATACGTCAAATGTGTCTCAGTAACGCTGGAGAGAAAGAAAAGAAATTGTGGTTAAAGGAAAATGAGGGTAGAAAAATAACAGTCAGCCAGGGCTAAGGCTAGTGCAAAACGTGCATGTCCTAAGGTGCTGTCCACCTGGAGAGACAGGCACAGATTTGGCTCTGAGCTTTCTAGCAGCCTGTGCAGAAAGGTTCACCTGAGCAGTCACACAGTTTACTCATAAGGGAAGGGAGGGTGGTTGTATTGTTTTTGTTATGTAGTATTTGCTGCATCAAAAACAGCATTTGTGCTCCACTTGTGACCCAGGAAACACAAGAGTAAAATGAGCACCCCTGAGTGCCGCACACACCCCAGAATAGACCGGTTCAGTGCCACTGGCGTTCCCTGTTTGCCCTTTAGACCGTGAACGTTTTGCAAGTAGGTACTACTCTTGTAATTTAAAAATAAGGTTAAACACATCTTTTTTGAAGACTGGTCAAACAACTGTTTCACATGGCTATTCTGGTGCTAAGACCTGAGGATAGTTTCTCTTCTGTGTCTTCCTAGAAGGGACACAATAACGTGGTGAAGAGCAAATAGCCTTGACCACATCCTCATGGTGCATGCAGAAGTATCTTAGAGCTGTTGGTTGTGTCACTGTACCACACATAGACCCATGGATGACAGAATCTGTAGAGTCCGTGCTTCAGGATATGGCCACGGTGATTTTAGGATGCAGAAATCTTAGAGAATTAGCCTTTTTTTTTTTTTGAGGAAGATTATCCCTGAGCTAACATCTGCCACTAATCCTCCTCTTTTTGCTGAGGAACACTGTCCCTGAGCTAACATCCATGCCCATCTTCCTCTACTTTATGTGTGGGACGCCTGCCATGGCATGGCTTGACAAGCAGTGCGTAAGTCCGCACCCGGGATCCAAACCGGCAAATCCCAGGCCAGCAAAGCAGAACATGCGAACTTAACTGCTGTGCCACGGGGCTAAGAATTGGCTGTTTTTAAAATGTCAGTAAAGTACATGCAGACATCTGAATTTCAGAAAAGTAACTTCCTCATGGGCCCTCCAGTATGAAGGATTTCAAGCCACATCCCTGAGAACTGGCTGAGTTCACACTGTGTGAACGCTGTACAGTCAGCTGTAAGTCAGTGAAGGAGCAGAGCGTGTTTACCAAAAATGTTGGCTTGCTGGCAGTAATTAGCATAGCAGGATCTGTGTCTAATAGGACCACTCCTTTTTTCCATCCCTTCCATTTATTTATTAATTCAGCAGTTACTTAGTGTTTTCCAGGTTTGTGTTGTAAAATCCCATCCTATCTCACATACACAAGAATCCTCGTATTTCCATTTTCTGTTGGTGGAATGATGCATCCGGCTTATTTAACACTGACGTCATGTTAATTAGGAGCAGCTTAAAAGGGAGGGGCACAGCATATCTGATATTGTATCCCGTTGGAAGTTAGCTTCGTTTGTCGAGAGACCAGTCCTGCCGTCCTTCCCTGTCAGGCCTCAGAAACCAGGGGACAGGGGACGGGCTGTTTCTCTCAGTTCCTAACCATTTTCTTTCTACCGAGTCGTTGACTTAGGAACAGGCAATAAGAGCTGCAAACAGTCTTTTACTGTTCCTATTAGAACTCTCTACAAGATGATAAAAGGTGGATGAGGGCTCGTTATAAATGTGTAAAAGAATACTGTGGTTGATTAGGCTCAGCTAACGTCAGTGTGTGATATCAGGTTTATAACAAGTGAAGAGGAAATAGGATCCAGTTTACATGGCATGTCTAGTGCCTGAACTGAGAGAATTTAAGATTTGGAGGGGGAAGAACGTTGCTTTTTTATTTTTTGAGGGAATAAATTCTACGCCAGGTCCAAACACAACACCATCAATTTCAAGATAAAGAGGTGGGCACAGACCAGCCTCCTTTTTGTTGTGACCTTGATCGCCAGCCCCTGGGGTGCTCGCTTGAACTTGAGTGTTGCAGTTCACTGTCCTCTGCAAAGGGGCTTGGCTGGGGCCCCTCGGAA